TAATGATATTCTAAAACAAACGCTGTAAGTCAAACGAGCCATTCGTTGTAGTTCTTGAAAAGGGATTTTTTTTTTAATGAAATATCTCCCTTTGGAGTGGACTTTTTTTATGCCCAAACATACACACTAAACACTGACTAAAATTTAAAGAAGTGAAGGACCCCTTTAAAAAAAATTCTGTTTTTAGAGGCATGATATTCAAATGTCGATTGTTTTCTGCCGCCACATTTATCAACGTGCGATCATTCGTACGATGAGATTGGTGGCATACGAATGTTTCATGAATCACACGTGAACTCTGTCGTAAATTGGTTTGTGCGCACGGATCTGCTCTCGTTTCTACGTTAGATTGATAAGTGAGGCCCAATATGTTTATACACGGTGCACTTTCAGATTTAAAACTTTGCAGGATGTTTTCATTCACCTAGAGCTGTGTTACACACTGCATGAAAGGTACTTTTCAAATATCCATAATAGGGGCACTTTAAAATTCAGCTTTGCATCACAGAAATAAATTAAATTTTAAAATATATTAAAATTGTAAACAGTTATTTTGAAGTGTAATACTATTTCACAATATTACTGCTTTTTTTTGTACTGTATTTTTGATCAGATAAATGTTGAACATATACAATGGTGATAAATTCTTGGTGAACATGAGACTTCTCTCAAAAACATTTAGGCTAAAAAATCTTACCAACCCCAAACTTTTGAACAACATTGTACATACTGTATTTAAAAAATTTGATTCACTGCTTATTTGTATTTGAAAAACTTTTTTCCATTAATCAAATTCACATGTGGCTAACATGCAGAAACACACAGACCCTTTTGTGTTCTATTAAAAAAGGTCCCTTTCCCTTTAAGTACACTCTAAAAAATGCTGGGTTAAAAAGGAGCAAACCCAGCTATTGGGTTGTTTTGACCCAGCGGTTGGGTTATATTTAACCCAGCATTTTTTAGAGTGTAAGAGATTAATATTGTGTCATTCAAATATGCTTTTTTTCTGACTGTATTTCATATTCTGTGGTGTATGTGTGTCTTGGAGAGATCTGTCCTGAGGAATCCTTGTAATTGTGCCATTACAAGGTGTGAGTCCTCATCCATGTCCCTCTCAGCGAACCGAAGGCCATCTGCTGGTTTCCGCAGGTAATGCCGCCCTTCTCCTTTAACATACACAATCAGACACACTCAAGTTTTCTAATTATAATGTGCTATATTCATTCAGTGCCAGTTCCTTTAAAACACATCCAGTTTTCCAGTGTAAAAAGTTTCACTGTGGCATCCTGTTTGATAAGGACGTCAGAGCTCAGCTGTCACTGTGTGTGTGTGTCACAGGTGGCCTGCTGCCCCAAGCAGCACTCGACACTCGCATGGAGACTCGTCTGTCCGTAGCAGTTACTCAACAGCGTCCTGCAAGTGCACAGAGAGCAATACTGTACCACGCTCCAACCCAGCCACACCACGGTGAGCGACACACACACACACACACATACACACACAAACACACACACACAAACACACACACACAAACACACACACACACACACTCAAAGGCAGATTAGATTTGTCTTCCATCAGGGTTGTGTTCCAGATTTTGTATGGTGGCAGAAAGTACAGTACAGAAATAGAATTAATGGAACAGACATGACACTATATCCATTTAAAAGTCTGGTTACTTTCTGTGAAGCTGCTTTGCGATAATGTGTATTGTGAAAAGCAATATACAAATAAACATGAAACATATTTGTGTCCTAATCGGATATTTCAAAAGTTCTGAAATACAGAAATACTGAGATGATTATGTGTATTGGAAGAGATCACACAAAAATATAAAATTATATTATTTACAAACCCTGATGTTGTTCCAAAGCTGTTTTTATTTCTCTGTGCTTCACAACAGGAGATATTTTGTAAGAATGTGCAGGCTGCTCTTTTTTAAATAAAAGTGAAAGGGGAGTAGGGCTATCATAAAAAGCACCTTAGAAGTAGTTCATATTACATGCACATTATTTAAGTCTGCTAAAGTTATACAAAGCTGTTATTCACTAAAAATCTTCCCTTTTGCTGTAGATCTCAATTGCATTTGTGTGATTGATTGAATCAATGCAATTTTATCTTTAACATTTGTGAATGGTGTTGAATGCAAGTTTATGTCTTTGCAAATGTCATTCATTGCCTGGCAAAAAAAATAAAGTGTTGCATTGTTGCCTTTGACAATAAATTTGTAGACCTGACAGCTTCTCAAGTGTCAGACACTGATGTGGAAGTTGGCAGTCACTAGGAAAATAAGTTGTGATCATGAGACAACAACTTTTTGTTATGTGAAAAATGAGAAAATAGCTATTTTCTTATGTTGAGATCACAACAAAACAAGAAAGAAAAAAATTATCATGCATTGCCACTTTGTATATTGTGTATTGCCAGACTGTAATTTTCTTTTCAACAGAAATATAGAATCTGTTGCTTTTTGTGCAAATGAGATGGGTAGACATCCTTGTTGCATAAATTTGCGCTATGGGTGTTGCACCAGTTGCCAGTCCTAATATTTGCACTTGGTTCTGTTATTTACATGCTAAACATGTTGTAATTATATGAGATAAATCGCAATTATAAATTATTATATTTGTATATAAATATTATGTATTTCTTGCTCTCTGACTAGACGGCAGGCAAAGTATGCAACCTGTAGTGAGAATCACGGGATCCGTCCGCCTGCTCCTGAGCAGTATCTCACCCCACTGCAGCAGAAGGAAGTGTGTATTCGCCACTTACAAGCTCGGCTGAAAGAAAACGTGGAGAGGCTTCAGGACCGGTCAGTAATGCTTCTATCTCTCAACATCCTGTCAGTGGAGTTTTATAGGTTTGTGTCATCCTGAGTATTATTCATCCGGACATATATAGCAGAACCTACCCTGCATCTGAATATACCTACTTCCCTACTATGTGGTATGTGAAACGATCATTTCATAAAGCGCAAAAGAAACTGCGAGCATGCAATGTCGTAGTTATGTCGTCATGAAGTTAACAAAGAATAAAGCTGTCTTAAAACTGTGCATGCATGTATTTGTTATATACGAGTCTCATTTAAGAACTCCCTCATCTAACACACCCGATTCAACTCGTCAGCTCATTAGTAGAGATTTTAAGACCTCAAATGGGTCAGAAAAGGTAAAGGGTTGTGAGAAAATACGATGTGTCAGATCCGTGTCACATTCAGCAGCGGCTGCTCTTAAATAGCAGCCAAATAAGCTAATAACCAGCAGCTGTGATGTCTGTTAATCAAAAAAATAAATAAAAAATAAATAACTTTTGTAGCTTTAAGGATTCATCTATATTTAATTTAGAATTTAGTGTTTGATAACTTTATTCAATTTCTGTATATTTTCTACTTGCTGAAGGGTACAGGTAAATATGACATTTATTATAATGGGTTTATGAGAAGATTGATTCAAGTTCACTTAACTAATAAATGTTAAAATTGATAGCTCTCAATTATACTGTAATGTTGAATGGCTATAGACAATGGTTAAATATTAGGGATGCCATTAAAATGATTTAATGGCATCATTTTAAAAAGATGCCATTAAAAATATTTAAAATATACTGTCTTTATGCTGTTTCTACATTAATTTGAAGTTTGAATGTGAAATTATTACATAAAAATATATTTTAAAATGTTTGTTAGGTGGGATTAACTGTGATTAATTTCAGAAAAAAATTACGATTAATTAGTTAATGTTTTTAAATTGATTGACAGCGCTAGTCTGAATTTATAATATTAATAAAACATTATCTTACTACAAACATTCATACCGTATAGAGTACTTTTTAACAGACGTGAAGTTCAAATCAAATGTAGTACCTACTACACAGTATGCTATTCCGGACACAGCACTAGATTTATTTCTATGCCCTTGTTTTTTTGTTTTTTCACCATGGCAGAGACTCTGAGATCGAGGAGTTACGGATGCAGCTGACTCGGATGCAGGACGATTGGATCGAGGAGGAATGTCATCGCATAGAGGCCCAGCTGGCCCTAAAAGAGGCCCGGATGGAGATCCGGCAGCTTCAGCAGGCTGTGGAAACCGTTAGGTCCAATCTGGGGCCCCATGAGGTAGATCAACAGGACTGTAAATCTGAAGGTCTAGGCGTCGGTAGGATAGGCCCACGATTTGGGGCATCCAGGTCTTGTGGCTGCTCTCCGGCCCACACCATGAGTCGCAGCGCCACCTTCACCAGGCTGAGCAGTGACTCGTCACTTGGTGCTACAGAATGCAACGGAAACGTACGTTCTGATCGCTACATTCCTCCCAACAGAGGGGCGATGACGTTACCAAGAGGGGACGGACGTACTCATCTACTTCTGGAAGCAGCTCTACTGTCTGAGCAAGTTCCTCATGCAACGCTATGCTCCACTTTGTCACGATCCTTCACCGGCGAGAGATTGTGCAGCGGAGAGACGGTGTTGCCCGTTAGCCGATCCTGCCATGCTGTTAACAACAACTGCAGCTGTGCTCCACATGCCTACCTCCCACACCACCATTTGTTTTTGCACCTCCCACAGGAGGAAGCACGACCTCCTCCTCCGCTGCCGCCTCCACCACCGCCAACAGCGCCCCCTAGTGCATCGGAGGTCAGTGACAGGCCAGGGTACCGGTCACAGGCCTGCAGCCCCACCATAACCTGGATCTCCGAAGAGGGCGCAGGTGAGGAATTGAGCATCATCACTTCAGCAACTTGCGTGCCAGACATTACTCTAGCTGAACCACAGGTGTTTTCGCCATCCTCTGCAACTACTTCCCCTGCTCAG